TGTAGCTCAAGGACCACATTTTGATTAGCAATGTTTTAGTGAGTGAACTCATTTGTATTTTTTTTTAAATCTCTCTCTCCCTCTCTCTCTCTCTCTCTGCATCCTCCTCCTCCCTTGTGTGTGTGTGCGCACACAAGCATGTATAATGTGAAAAGGTCTATAAGGATAGAAACAAGTATTAACAATAGTTCTTTCTGGGTGGTGCAATCATGAATATTTCAAGTTTCCTTTTAATTTTTTTTTCTGTATTTTGTTTTTCTGCCGCAGTGACTGTGTATTAGCAGCTCTCTTTAATTGGCAATTAGGAGATTATTAGTGACTCCAGTGAGTGGCAGGGAGCAGAGCCAGCCTGCCGGGGTTGATGAGCCGCAGGGAGGGTGGGTAGGGCACGCTTTCAAAAGGCTGGGGTGGGGAAAGGCAAGAAATGAGGGGGGGAGCCAGAGGAGAGGGGCTGTTTGCAGAAGCGTGAGCACACTCGCGGGCTGAGGGGAAGGAGCCAATGCTGAGAGAGGAAACACAAAGACAGTGGAGAGGGGGACCACCGAAGGACATGGGTCCCAGAGGAGGTCTGAGGGGATTAGACCAGGGCCCAGGTGGAGGAATTCATTCTGGAAGGCACACTTCACCCTCGGGCTCCGGGAAAGGAAGTGAGGATGAATAAAGTTATAAATGCATTGACTTCCTTCATTTGTTTATATTACACTCTCCCTCATTTCACAAAGGACTTGAGGTCTTTCTATAGCGAAGTTGATAGGTTGAAGGGGACTGGAAGTTAAGAAGTCCCCCCGAGGGGAGGGGGTCTCCTTTCTTCATGGAGTGGGAGGCAAGTCCCCCACAGAGAAAGGAACAGGGGTGTGTCCACGGGGCTTGAGGAGACAGGCAAAGGTTTGGAATGCAGAGGGACAGAGACCATTGGATGGATCTGGCCCAGCTCCAAACTGCCCACGGCACAATCTTCTCCGGCAGCTCAGGGTGGGGAAGCCTCTGCCTCCTCCTTGGTCTGACGCCAGGTGAGTCATTCACCTTCCAAACTACAGGGTCCTGATCTGCACGCGGGGAGAAAAACAGCAAGTCTGGAGGGTGGTAGTGTGGATTAAGTAAAACCATGTCACGAAGCATCTAGCACAGTGCCTGGTACACAGGACGGGCTTAGTACTCCTTCCTGCCCCTCCCCTTCTGAGCAAACCTGAGCCCGTGGACCCCGGATGGAGAGGGACATGGCCGTGGGTACCTTGTAGTAGTGGATGCAGTTGGATACAACAGCAATTTTAAATACAGTCCACTTGTTACTCACAGCAGCTGTGTTCTATAGAGGTACCACAAAGACTGAAATAGGGAATCCTGAATCACTGCCCCTTGAAGAAATACAGTGTTCCTGTGAGCCTCTGGCCACACTTTCATCAACCAATCAATACATAACCTTGTTTTACGTGAGTTTCTGTTTAAAGACCCCTTAGCTAATATATATTGTTGATTCATCAGCATTGAACTCACGGCCAAGAGCACCGTAAGTCACGCCAAGAACACCGTAAATCACGCTCATCGACCTCACGGGTTTTCTCCCCGAGGCTCATCCCAACCCCCCTGCGCTCAGAAACTGGACCGCTTTTCCATGCTATCCTTGGGGGCCCGTTTAAAGAGCAACATCACCAGCAAAAAGTCCCCAAACAAAAAAAAGTGGCACTGAACAGACCGTGAAAAAGACACTTGTTTACGGTATGACACTTGTTTACAAGAGCGTTGCCTCGTTGGACCTCAGCTGGGAACACGCACATCAGTCAACTCTAAATCTTCACGACTCCGTGCAGGCATGAGTCCCTGGGCGACTGCAGAAGTTCCTCAAGGATCGATTTGGGGTTACAATTGATTTACAAGTAGCTGAAGGGCGCCTGGGTGGCTCAGTGGGTTAAGCATCACACTCTTGGTTTCGGTTCAGGTCCATGATCTCAGGATTGTGATTTCGAGCCCCACGTCTGGCTCCAAACTGGGTGGGGAGCCTGCGTAAGCTTCTCTCTTTTCCTCTCCCTCTACACCTCCCCCTCTCCCCCTTTCTAAAGAGAAAAAAACTTTTTCAAGTAGGTGCATTTGCAAATACAGAATCCATGAATAAGGACATTTGACTGTCTTTATTTTTTCTGATTATAAAATTAAATAATAATGTAAAAGATGCAGTCCCCTCCATAATCCTAGATACACACTCAGATAAACACTGTCGGAACTGCTATAGAGTTCTGCAGATCTCCGCTAGGCAGAGAATGCCTGTGTGCATATGTGTGACTGTGTGTCTGTGTCCGAGTGTCTGTGTGTGTGTGTTTTCCATCCAATAAGATCTCTTGGATAGTTTTCAAAAAAAAAAAAATCCTGAAGTTATATTTTAAAGTATGGATGGAAGCAGTTGGGATGCACTGTGCTCAGGACCTCCCAGTCTCATTTCAGACCCCTTGACCACATCAAGGTGGGAAAGCAATGATCCAGAAAGAGCAATGGCTTGCCAAACTTAACCATCACCCGCAGTCTGAGTGCATGCCGTGTTCCGCATTTAACTGAGATGGTGTAAGTAAGGCCAGCCAAAGGACCGAGACTAAAAGCAGAAAACACAGCAAAAGGTCAAGAGACTGACTTACAGCCAGAGAAAACCATATTCCATACACTTGGGAAGGGGCTGGGGCTACAGAGCAAGGGGAGCCCAGCTATTTGAAAGGATTCAGACAATAGCATAACAGTAACGGAGCTTCTTCTAAAAACAGTTGTGAAATGGCATGGGGCACGCCAAGCTGCTGCAAGAAAGAGACCCAAAATACAATGACTTACCGAAAATGGACATTTATTTCTCTTTCTCTAGTCCACGTGATTTCACTCCATGTCATCATTCAGAGCTCAGGTCCCCTCCTTATCTTTGCTCTGTCAGCCCCTTTGAAGCATTATTGAAGCTTGGTCCCTGCCACATCTGTGTTCCAGCTTGAGGGAAGAGGAAATGGAGCATGGCAGAGCAAAAGCCCCATGCCTTAAGGACTGTTTCTATTTACGTTCTATTAGAAGGGACTTAGTCACAAAGCCACATTCAGTAACAAGAGCACCTAGGAAGTGTGGTCTCCAGCAGACCAGCCATTTGGCCGGCTACTGTATTGCTATAGAATGGGAGGATAGATGACATGTTGAACAAATGAAGCCCGTCCATCCATCACCAAGCCTTTTTCCATTTCGCTTCAAATCCTTAAATAATTTAGACCTTCCTCTCCTTACAAAAAAATATATATATTAGGGATGCAAATCAGTGTGTTATTTGGGATTCTTTTGGTTGCCAAGTGACAGCACAGTGCTATTAAACTTGCTTAAGCAATAAGGTGGGCCACGTCATATATCCAAATTCTGGACTCTGCGTCAAAGCACCAGCCCTTTTTCCCTAGACTCTCTCTCGCAGCCTCAGTCATGTGCTGGCAGCTTCCTAAGACCGGGAGCAAGTTAGCTGCTGCAGTTCCAACCATCTCCACCAAATACATCCCAATCAGGAAAGGGGCCAGAGTTTGGGAAAGGGAAGAAATCTTTAGCAGAAGTTGCTTCCCCACCAGAGGCTTGACCTCTGTTTTTTCAGGCCAGACCTGTATCACATGTCCACGCCCAAACTCTCACTGGCAAGAAGAATGCATCCACCACCATGGACTTGAACCAAAAGGGACTTGAACTCCTAGAACTCCACCATGGACTTGAACTCCTAGACTAGGCTGGGGTCAACATTCTGTTGGTCACATGGGGAAGGGACCCGCCTGAACAAAATCAGGCTCTGACTGCAAGGAAAAGTGGAAGAATGGTTGTGGCATGAGTTACCAACTTGTTTCTGGCGATCACAGTGGCAGGGGACAAGGTGATGATGTGAAGGGGATGTAAACAGCAGAGAAGCGAACTTTGAACTGTTTCTTAAATTGTACCTTAAAAAAGTCTAACCCCAGTGAAGACATGTCTGGAGAAGGCAGAAACTGGGGAGACACGTTCAATGTCTCTGACAACAGTGATCTAAGTCTCTCTTCCCAGGTCCACAGCTTTGCTGCTGTTACTCAGTACACAGTTTAATGTGTACCAAGCACTGCCCATATGCAGACATATCAGAAAGGATTCCTGCCTTTACCCTGCTGATGGTATAATGAGCATCTCCCTGACTCCCTAAAACCCACACCAGACCAAGTCATTTTTCCGCTTGAAAGTCCAGTGCCTCCAGGAAATCCTTTACCGTGACCCACAATACCCTCCTCTCCAAGCCCTCCCCACCCCACTCTCAACAGCACAGAACTACTTGCACTTCCCTCAAAGTGCCCTCCCCTTTCACGCCTCTGTGCTTTTGCACCGGCTGTCCCCTCCATCTAGAAATCCCTTATCCCCTCTCCATCTGGCATACGAGATAAGGTCTCCTATTACTCTCTCCTTCTCTCCTGTTCCAACCTGCCAACCCGCCCCCGCCCCACACACACACACAAAATAGCACTCCGAAATGTTTGCTGAATAGAGGCTACTCTTTGGGTCAGACAGGGCTTTCTAAACTTCTCCCCCCAAGCACTCCTTAAGAAAGTGAAAAGGAAACCCTGAACTTGCTGTAAGCAAGCACGGCATTTTCTCGAGTCTTTCTTTGCATTTTTATGCAAAGGCTGTATTCTATACAGATTACAGCACGCATCCTTGCTTGTTTTAACAAAAAATACTATTTTCCCAAATCTTCACGTCGATGATCGAGAAAGATGCTCCTTGTTTACTCGTTATCCTCTGAAATTAGCTGTCCTCACCCGCCATAGCGACCCTAAGCGAGACGTTCATGTTGCTCTGTGTGCAGATCCTGAAGAACAGCTGGGGTTTCGGTCCCCGGGGAGTAGGGGAACGGTGGGGGCGGTGAGGGGGTCCGCAGGCTGGAGGCCTGGCCCCGCCTCTCCTCTCCCCCGCCCGCCGTAGGGGCGGAGTCGCCTGGGCCCGGCCCGCAGGGGAGGGGAGGGAGTCACTGCCGCCGAGAGCTTGAGCTCGGCTGGTTCCGGGTTGAGAGGCTGCGCTCGGACCAGAGCAGTGGCCGCTGAGCCGGCAGGGGTAAGGGGCCACGTCGGGCGGGGTCTTGGGGCCGAGATTAGGCAGCTGAGCTTGCTCACACCCCTCCTCTCCTCTGCGACGCACAGCCGCGGCGCAGCTGTGCTTGGCTTTCCCCTTCCCCAGAATTCCCCATCCCCAGCTTCTCCCCCTCCCCCCACTGCACCCATCCCGGGATTTCAGCTCCCCTAAGGCCTCCGCCCCCCTCCTGGATCCTGTTCTCCCAGTACCCATCCCTTCAGACTGTCCCTTCCTCTAGAAGCTCCTTGCCCGGAGCCCCTTCCCTCAGACACCAGGGCCCCCTCCCTCCAGCACCCATCGCTTCGAGTAACCCACTACCTAGAGACCACCTTTTTGGACTCGCATCCCGGCTAGTCTCTGCCCTGCACCTCTTCCTCGCGTTCCACCCTTCCCTCCCGGATAGCCCCCCCGCCTTCCTTCTGTAGCTCTTACTCCTGCCTCTCCCCGTCTGCTCCCCGAACACATCTCTAGGTTGCGGCCCCCAACAGCGCCGCGCTCGCTCAGCCTCCCCCCTACATCTCAGGGCCCCCTCTCGCCGCCCCCAGCGCCATGGCGTGCAGCCTCAAGGACGAGCTGCTCTGCTCCATCTGTCTGAGCATCTACCAGGACCCGGTGAGCCTGGGCTGCGAGCACTACTTCTGCCGCCGCTGCATCACAGAGCACTGGGTGAGGCAGGAGGCGCAGGGCGCCCGCGACTGCCCCGAGTGCCGGCGCACGTTCGCGGAGCCCGCGCTCGCGCCCAGCCTCAAGCTAGCCAACATCGTGGAGCGCTACAGCGCCTTCCCGCTGGACGCCATCCTCAACGCGCGCCGCGCCGCGCGACCCTGCCAGGCGCACGACAAGGTCAAGCTCTTCTGCCTCACGGACCGCGCGCTGCTCTGCTTCTTCTGCGATGAGCCCGCGCTGCATGAGCAGCACCAGGTCACCGGCATCGACGATGCCTTCGAGGAGTTGCAGGTGAGCTGCTGGGCCGGCAGGGCCCGCCGGGGGCGGGGCCGGGGGCGGGGTCAGAGCTGAACCGTGGGCTGGGCCAAGTCAGAATTGCCACGGGGCGGGGCCGCCGGCAGGGTCAGGGCCCTATCAGAATTCGTACGGGACAGGGACGGGGCGTGGCCGCGGCGAGAGGGCGGGGTTCTGGGGCGGGGCCTACGGCCCTCAGCACCTGGCCAAGTTGGAAACGGACCCGTAGTAGGGGTGAGTCCTTGGGGAGGGGTCACCCATGGAGTGACACGGCCGGCACCAGTGAGATCAGAGATGGCCCAGGTACGGGCTTGGGGCAGGGTTGGGGACAGGCACGAATCAGAGCTGCAGGGCCACTGTCTGGGGTCAGGGGCCTGAACCTGAAGGCAGGGTCCACAAATGAACGGTTCAGGACAGAGTTGCGGCTAAACACTCATGGGAAGAGGGGAACACAATCACGGCTACACGGGGCGGGGCCGCCGTCGGGGAATAGGTCAGGACTGGAGTCGCTGACGGGCAGGCTTGGGGCCGATGGGGCGGGACTCAATCAGCCGTGCATCAGGACCTAGGGAACAGTAGCAGGGCTGGATTTCGTGGGGGCAGGCCAGGGTGAAATCTGAGAGAGTCTAAGTTATGGCCATCCAAACTGCAGAGAGCCTGAGTTTGGGTGCCAAGGCCTAGGTAGGCCAGGGTGTGTGACGGGTTAAAGGGAGGATCAAGTCCAGGTACCCTAAGAACTATTTTGGGTTTAAACCAGAGGAGAGGCCAGGATGACTGTGGGAACAGGACTTAAGATTCAAGATTTGGAGAATAAAGGCCCTGAGGTGAGGTGATTCAAGAAAAGGGAGGGGGTGGATCTCTGGGAGTCTCCAGAGGCTTTCAATGACCTCCTTGGCTCTATTACCCTTCTCAAGACCTTTGAAGACTAAATGAAACAGTATATGCAGGGTAACCTGAGCATAATGAACCTAGGACTATAAATGATCTCCCTTAAACCTTCCCATCTTCACTGACCAACTCCTACTCAGTTCTCAAAGCCCTGCTCAAATGTCCTCTGGGTGTAAGCATTCCCCAATCTGCCCTGGCCAAAAAAGGGTGGGGGGGGGAAGCACTAGAGCTGCATTTCCTCAAATATCCTCTGTTAATAAGTATGCTGTTCTAAAAAGTAGTATTCCAAGATCAGCTATATTGGGGAAATAAGAGCATATTCTCGATAGCCCCTTGGAGGATTCTGCATGTACATTTTACATATTAAAAGTTTGGAGAAATCTTGTGGCGAAGAGATCCATTTAATGTGTTTACTCAAATGGCACCCAAGCTTATTTCAACGTGGAAGTCTAGAATCTTTTCCTCCACCTAAACCATTTCAATCCACCAGTCCTGTGTCTTTGGCCTGGGGATATCAGTCTAGCACACAGTTCCCAAAGAGCAGAAACAGTCTCTGATTCATCGTGTCTATGGCCCTAAAGCCTGGCATATCCGTACTCATCAGTAAAGTTTGAATAATGAATGAGTGAAGGACCAGTTCTGGCCTGAGCTGGCCCAGACTGTGGAGCCTTTGGAAGCAGATTTTTCATTCATTTTTTGAATATGCAGTGGACTAATTTGGCAGGTAGGGAGCTCCCTGGTCCTTGGGACGCTTAAGCAGGAGCTAAAATAACTACTTTCCCTTATGTTGTAAGAGGTATCCTTCTCCCCACCCCCACCCTGAGTCTCTGCGAGTCAACCTGCACTTAGCAGATGCCTGTGGATGGCCCATGGCCCAGGAGAAATGACCCCATGTTCACCATCTCTCCCTCCCTGCCCCTTTCATCCCCAAACCATGACTGACTCACTCCCAGTCTGGCTTTTTGAGGATAGGGAGCAAGAATTGGGGGCTCTGGGAGCTTGCACAGGCTGGCATGGGCCCTCCATCCCCAGAGCATTTTGTGGCAAGCTCTGGTATCCCCATCTCTCTATTTGTGAAGTCACATAAACAGGGAGGGGAGAACCTTTGACATGGCTGGGTGCAGGTGGTGAGGCTTTGAAGGGACTCTGTCTGCAACCATCTGTCCAACCTCTTCTTAATATAGGTGACTGAGAGCCGGAGAGGTGAAATGACTCCCCCAAAGCCACACTAAGCGACTATGAGAGCACCAGGAAGCTCCACCTACCCCAGGCCATATCCCTCCTCTGCCACTTAGCCCCTCCCCTCCTCTCCCTGTCTGACCTTCTAGCTAGAGAGGCCTCTGCCTTCTGAGCCTGGGTTCCCCTGCTGCAAACCGGGAAATCAGAACACTTGTGTTTCAGTTCTTTGCAATCCATTCCACGTCCTGGGGGAATGCTGGAGGAATTAAATGTGTATTTTCTCTAAATGTTATTGACATACTTCTACTCCTCGGTGAAAAGAACAAGATGGCCGCCTACCTACACTCTAGGGCAGTATCCTGTGGTCAGGTACTCTTGGGTTCCAGACCTTCCTGTCTGTGTGACTCGCCAAGTCCCTTCATGGAAGCCTTGATGCTCTCTGGTCTGTAGGCTGGGGTCAAAATGGTTCTTTCCTACCAGGATTTCAGGAGACTGACCTGAGATGAACCTGCTGTTTGAGATGCTTGGCACAGGGAAGGGGCTGGGTCAGCACGCACTCCCATCCCTTGTCCTTCTACCTGTGAGACCTCATGCACCCAGCTGGGCGAATGCCCAGACCTGCCTCTCTTGCCTGAGAGGAGGCCTTGCTCTGGCACCTCCTCTGGGCTTGGCAAGAAGGTGGCAGAGAAACATGCCTTCCGCACTCAAGAGGGGAGCTCCTGGGAGAGGTTCAAGCCACTCCCCACCCCACCTGCCTCTCTCTCCTTGTGGGGTAACATAATCAATGGAGCAGGGCTCGCTCACTATGTGTGCACTGGGAATGAGGCTGAGTCTGCCCGGCACACCCTCTTCTCTCCTGGCTGCTGGTGGTTCTGTCCCCAGGGCTGCAAGAGCCTGGGCTTGGGTCCCTCTCTGGGAGAATAACAGACTCAGAGCTGGCAGAGCCTTGGAGATCATCTGGTGCCACCCTCACTTGACAGGTGGGGCAATGGCAGAGGAGGACGAAGCGGACCTTGCCCCAGGCCTGAGGCCAGGGGAGGGCTGTGCCTGGGCTCAGCTAGAGTCTCCTCCCTTCCCACCTAGCACTTGGCCTGCAGCTTTTAGACTTATTATAAATCCTGAAGGCAGCAGAGCAGAAAGGTGAAGAACTCGCACTTCGTACTGGGCAGCTTCAATCCCAGAGCTGCCACTTCTTGGCGATGTGGCCTTAGAAGAATCACTTCCGTCTCTGAGCTTCAAGTCCCTCACTGACGGCAGTGGGGGTGGATGAAATAAGATGACATTTGCAAGAGCTCAGTACTGCCCTCCGCACCTCGTAAGCACTCAGTTAATGACAGTTCTAGAATGATATCATACTGTGCCCTATCGACATTGGTGTGCAAGGCAGTCTTGTGCATTCTAGAATGTTTAGGAGTGTCCCTGGCCCCTAAACACTAACCAGCAGCATTTCCCACCACCCCCTCTCAATCCCCCACCCTCTCACCCCTCCCATCCCACCAAGCTGTGACAACCCAAAACATTTCCAGTCTTCATCCCATGTCCCCTGGGGTCAGAGTCACCCCTGGTTGAGACCCTTGTCCTAAAGAAGCTCTAAACCGCTTTCCATCCTCAGCTCAATTATCACCTTCTCCGGGAAGCTTTCCCTGACCTGCCAGGTGGAATTGCTTTGAACTTGATTCCAATACTGGGGTCAGATCCTGGCATCATCACTGATGGGCTGTGTGTCCTTGCTCAGGTCACTTCACTACACCAAGCCTCCACCTGCTTATCTATAACATGGGGATAATATGACCTCCCCAGGAAGGATGTTCTAAGGGTCAGGGTTACGGTATCAAAAGTGCCTGATACCGTGCCTGGCACTGAGTCGCACACAATTTTTAAGTATCTTTATTGTTTCTGACTCTAAAATTAACATAATCAACAGAGCTACCTAAGTTAAAAGTACCCCCCGCCATAATCTCACCCCATAGAAAGACATGGTTAGAATTGCTTTGTGATTCTTCAGAATTTTTGTGTACAGAGCATGTGAGCATGTGTGTGCATGTGTGCGTGCTTTCATGCCTCCCCCCACCACACACACACCTTTCTTTTTCACTGCTGAGCACTGGACCACAGAGCCAAAGGGAGGGAGGGAGCCCCCTCTCAGAAGTTTGGGGCTTCTCAGTCAATACCTACTGGGCCCTGGCGCTTTGCCTGGGACTAGACTAAGCACTTTCCTTGTATTACCTCATTTAATCTTCATAAAACCCTGTCGAGTGGTCCTGTCATTTGCTCCTTTTCCAGGCAAAGTAACAGGCTCAGAGGAATTGAGTGCCTGGTTTGGTCACCCAGCTGGGAAATGCCAGGGGCAGGACCAGAGGCCAGTCAGACTGAGCCACTCCCCACCTCCTTGCTGCCTCTGAAGCCCAGGTGCTTGGCCCCCCCTTCCCCCCACCCAAGCTGCCTGTCTTTATATTTCAAGTACTCAACACAGGGTCAGGCCAAGGACACCTTCTGTGCTACCTGATGCTCCGAGGGCAGGTGGCTGGATGTCATCTTGGTCAGACATGCAGCCGGCTCTCTGGCCTGAGACCTCAGCTTCCAGGCCTCCAGAGAAGGGATCACGCTCATTCCCACCCACCCCCCTCCGGGCCTCACGTGACCCGTGGAGCCTTTCCCAAGACCTCTGTCCTGCCGGGGGAGACCGTACTGCACTGGCCTTGGGTTGGAGCCCTGCCAAGCTGGGCATGGTGACCCAGAGACACCGAGACAGCCATGTGGGGAAAGAGCAGGGTGAGGGCACTGGGTTCAAATCCCACCTATAGCTTCTTCCAGCTGAGCAGAAGGCACTGCATCCTCTCACCCTTTCCCCGTGTGGGAGAGACAAGTAACAACAAGACTGTCCACTTGATGTGTAAAGAGGGAGAGAGACTTGCTGCCTCCCCAAATGG